TCTTTCACTATAATGTTACATTGCCAAAGAATTATAAAATTGTTATTTCTAACTCTAAATGTAACAAACAGTACAGTTGGCACATATAAGAATTCACTATCACACCAAAGAATTCCCTATCCACAGATACCAGAATTCCTTCTTACCTCGGTCTGTAGAATGGCAGCCCTTTGTTCCTTAGCAGTCAAGGACTCTTTCAGCACTTCAATGTGTTGCTTACTGTCTGAGAACTGGTTCGTAAGCGTTTCCAACTTGGTCTGTAGGGCCAGGAGTTCTGTGTCCTTTCTGGACAGCTCCTGCTTCACCTGCCCAATCTAGAGAGAACAATAAAGTACTGTAAGATAGGAAGAAATAAAACAAGCTCCTCCAAGCTAGATCTTTGACAGTTTGCAAGATATCAAAGAAGCTAAATGCAGAATTCAATTTATGAAAAGACATTTTTTTCACCATCTAGCCTTAGATACACATCCCCAAACAAAGTTTATTCAACAAATACGCTATCTTCTAGTTTTCTTTTATTGCATCAGCAAAGTATTATTGGAAACCCCTAGGAAAAGGAATAGAAAGGTTAAAAAAAAACCCATTTCAATTAAATCATTGAGCATCTGAACATCACTTGCTGCTAAAACCATGTTCGTTTACTTCATTAAGTCAGACCTCTTCAGAACATGAAGGATCGAATGTAGAGTCAGTGTAAGCTATAGCACAAAAAGGAAACAGAGAAACCTAGTATTGCTGAAGTAACTTCAAAAGAAGCTGCTACTGGTTTGGGGGGTTTTTTTGGTTGTTGTTTCATTTTCATTTTTTCACGAGATTTTTGTGTTTTTTTAAATTTTTGTCCTCAGAAGTTTACATGAAATTCATATCATAAAAGCTATGTTTGGTGCTGTCATTATAAAAATGCATTTAAAAACTTGAGTAAGTTTTAAAACCTCATCTAATTCACACACAAAAATATTCTTTAAATAAAAGCACTAATAATATTATGCTTAAATTTTTTGAATTTTTTTCATAAAACATATTAAATAATATATACATAAGTTTTCTATTCTTTATATTGATCCTTGGTGAAAAGTACTCATTTGTGAAAATAAATGTATATATTTTATTATTAATGTAGATAAAATTAAGAAATTTTATGTTTTAACTATACAATTTTATGTTGGTTTACATTTTAAAGATTCAATAATTTGCTGACTTATGATACTGAACTAAAAACAAAAATTCCACCGCCAAAATCTTGTCACCTACATGTCACTAGTAACTAAGTATGTTACTAGCATGTGAAATAAATAATGAATGCATACAATCTCATTCTAAGCGAATGTATATGAGTAATTTGAAGCTTGGGCTTCTGACAAAGTAATCTATATATCAACAATGCCAAAGTTATCTTCCCATACATTTCTCTCTTAAGTTAGAAAAGACTTTATTTCAAACATCTCCTGGACATTTCTCTTTTTCTAAAAACATCTGAAAGACAGCCTAAATGTAAGTAAAACAAACAGAAGTCAGGTCTGCTTTTCCATAATATCTCTTCCCTAAGAAGGTAGCTGCACACTTCTGAAAAAGCAAGGTTAAATTTTTAGAAGGAAAATTTGACAGAAGTCAGGAAAGAGCGCTCACGTGGCAGTATGATCAAAGCCTTGGGCCGCTACCAGCAGCTTGTGGGCTGGCACACCCCAGCAGCTTCAGGGAGACTCGGCAAGCCGCTCCTGGAAAGCCTGCACCGTGAAACCCTAGGGGGCAGCACTCTCTGTCCAAGAGAATGGCTATCTGTCAGATTCTTTTTTTGTTTCTTTTTAAGAACTTTCATCAAAATAATCTGAGGTGTAAGGGTTACACCTTTTGGAGATTTTCCATAAAATACATTTTGATTTTTCATATACTTAAATGGCTCTTTATAGTTATAATTCATGCTACAATTATTATTATATGCACAAATTTTAAGAATAGTAAAAACATTCATGAAAGGTAAGTGGGCTACTCTTTTCATCTTGTAAGAGATAAATGCCCAGAAGTAGTGCCACATGTTGAAGGACCTCTGGGGATATTACTTCATCAACCAAAAGAGACAGATTACAATTCCACCCAAACACTGTACTAAAGCATATTTATTGTCTGAATGAATATTTAAAAGAAACACTCAAAGTGCTATCACTTTATTGGCTATTGAGCCATGACTTAAAAGGCTATTAAACTTTCTGTATTATTAAATAATTTTCAAATAATACTAAAGTGGCCTTAAAGATGGAGTGATGAGGAAATATCATACACGGAGAGCAAATGTACCACGGAGTTGATCACAAGTTGTCTTTGAGAAAAGAGACTCTGCCTAAGCTTGAGATTCCTAATCAGTAACGTGGAGAGGTAATACCAACGCCACTATATTGCTTAGGGCTTACATAATGAATGTATGGAATATGATTAGCCTGTTGCCTGACACAATGTAGAAATGCCTAATAAAAGCTAAGAAAAAAGTTATTAACCAATCCAGACAAATACATGGTTATTCAAACCAAATTAGACCTTTGCAGTCAAAATATTTTTACTTATTTTATCTATACTATAAAGTGGTCCATAAATAATAGACATAAAACTAGTGTTTGCTGTTTTTGTTATATGGTTGTTTTTAATGCTTTATTCTAGTCTTAACAAGCAAAACCCAAACTCACTGCCATTGAGTCCATTTCAACTCTTAGCAACCCTATAGGACTAGAGCAGAGCTGTCCCGGGGGTTTTCTGAGGCTGTACATTTTTATGATGCAGAAAGTCTCATCTTTCTTCTGCAGAGCAGCTGGAAGGTTTGAACCTCCAACCTTGGGATTAGACACCCAGTGTATAACCCACTACATCACCAGAACTCTAACCTTAGGCCAGAATTATTTTCAGAAACAGTTTTCCCTGACACTTTGACAATTGTTTGTTTGCATGGCCTAATACAGGAAGTTTAACAAAACAAAACCCATAGTCGTGGAATCAACTCACAATAGTCTGAGTAGGATTTCTGTGGCTGGAACTCTATAAGGGAGCAAGCAGTCTCATGTTCCTCCTGAGGAATGGCTGGTAGGTTTGCTCTGTCGACCTGGTGGTTCCTGTCCAAGGCTTATGGACAGAGGACCCCTCCTCGCACCTCTCAGCTTTGTACAGGGCAGTGTAAGCATAGTTTCTGGGACCAGAATGCTTACATGAAATCAAACTCTACCTCTTATCCTGAGTACCATCTATGAACTCAGTTTCCACATCTGCTGAGGTAGATATATTATCAAGCTCATTTTATATCTACCTCAGCAGATTATAAACTGCTTATAAAAAGTGGTAGGGTGTTCAGATATTTTTCTTTCATTATGCATTGAGATGGAATTCTTAGTTCATTACTTACACAGAAGACTGGACTGGACTTGAGAAAGTTTCAAAAGTCTCGTGATAATTATAATTTACTAAGGAACTCTAAATAAGATAACTACTTTTCATATATCTGCTCTTAAAAAAAAGTAGCATTTGCTGCAAAATCACTTAATGAGGACTTAAGATCTACACAAAATGGTAAAGCATTTTATTCATGAATTTTAAGTTTAAATAAACACATGTGATGCATTGGGAACATATATGTACCCCTGTACCTAGGCAGGGAGAGGGAGTAGGACACAAAAAAAAACAACCAGGACCGTTCACAAAAATCAGCAAGTTTTCAGTTACAGGAAAAGAATTGCAGGAAAACAAAGTACCATTCATAGAGTGACAAAAGCAACAATAAAGAATCCAGTACAGAACTTTCAAGAGCATGTGGAGGGCTCACGGCACACAAAGTAGCAGAGGTCAAAATGGTGAGAAGGGGTTGGGTAAGCAGCAGGGCAGGCTGGTTAGTGCTAGTGTTGGGCAAAGTTGCCAACCACAGAAAATGAGAGTGTAAGGCACCCAGAAGTCAGGGCTTGCAGGGTCCCATGCAGGTCCCCAAGAGATAAATCTTACGGCAAAGACCTCAGTTTGAAGACCAGCCGCTCTCTTTTTCAGCTCCTCCCCTTGAGCCTCTTTCGAATTTAGTTCTTCCTTCAGTTGCTCTACCTGTCACGACATTGTTAAACTTTTTCACTCAAATGTCAACGTAGGTCTTCATGTTAGCTGCTGTTAAGTCAGTGCAGTTACTGGAAATAATGACTCACAAGACACAATGAAATCTGTCCCCCTAATTCTCTAGATGGCGTCCCTATTTCCACTGGGTTTCTAATGGGCTGGAACATGTTAATCAGCTCACAAGATGCACAACCATAGTGAATTTAATGAAGTATATTTGATCATCAAATTATGAAATGGGGTATGAGAATGAGTTGGGTAAAATTTGTTTTTACCTGTAAAATTACTATGACATTGGCTGAAGAACTCAATGATTACAGAGTCTTAAAATAAGAGAGGAATACTCTACAAACACATACATGGCAGATACAGGTACCAGAGTAAGATGCCAGGGTCTGGAGAAGGAGCTATGACACTGTTAGAAATATTTCTGCTTTCTGTTGGCAGGAATTGGGGAATTAATTGATACAACTGGGTTCTAGAAGAGGAAAATCATTTAGTTTCTGGCTAAAATGTCATAATTTAATTTAATTTTTAAATAACACACAACAAAACGATAAACTGGTAAGTGCAATAAAACAAATCTTTCAATTTGCTGGACAGTTTATAGACTCAAATAACTATGTTTTTAGACTTAAATGACTTTAAATATAAGTAAGTGGTATTGTAACTAAGTTTTATAAACACACACATATGTGTCTCAGGGGTACCTGTTCTACCACGTGTGGGGGCGTAAAAAATTTGTGGGAAACGATTCTACCTTACAAATCCGTCTGGACCGGAGGATGTATACTAGTACAGATATGAACTGGAAATACAGAGAATCCAGGGCAAATGAACCCCTCAGGATCAGTGAGAGTGGCGATACCGGGTGGAGGGAAGGGAGGGAGAAAGGGGGAACAGATTAGAAGGATCTACATATAACCTCCTCCCTGGGGGACAGACAGTGAGTGGAGAAGTGGGTGAAGGGAGATGTCGGATGGTGTAAGATATGACAAAATGATAATAATTTATAAATAATCAAGAGTTCATGGGGGAGGGGGAAGGGGGAGCAGGGACAGAGGGGGGGAAATGAAGAGCTGATACCAAGGGCTCAAGTAGAAAGCACATGTTTTGAGAATGATGAGAGAAACAAATGTACAAAAGTGCTCAACACAATGGATGTATGTGTGGATTGTGATGAGTTGTACAGCCCCCAATAAAATGATTTAATTTTTTTTTAATTGTGGGAAAACTCCATTATTTTTTTCACTGAACTTTCCCACAAACTTTTGAAGCCCCCGCATATATACGAGGAGGTACCCAAAACAATCCAGAATTTTTCAAAGCTATGTATTCAAATTTTCTTACAAAACAACCTATCACCTTCAAAGTACTCTCCATTAAACTTACTACATTTGTCAAATATGCAATTCCATTCTTGGAAACATTTTTCAAACTCATCTGTTTGGATGGCTGACAGCTCCCTCCCTCGTTTTGCTCTTCACTTCTTCTACTTCATCAAATTGCTGTCCCTTCATGCCCCTCTTCATTTGCGGAAACAAAAAGCCGATGCTCAAGTGAGGTCAGGTGAGTCAGGTGTGTGGGACAAGAGAGGCATGCAGATTTTTACCAAAAACTGGAGCACTGATATGGCTGCGTGAGCAGGTGCATTGTATGGTGGTAAAACCAGTCCCCCATCTGCCACAGATCGGGCCCTTTTTGTCACGAACTGTTACGCTATCTTTTCAGAACCTCTAAATAGAAAGCTTGATTAACAGTCTGACCTAGCGGAATGAACTCCAAATGCACTTTGAGCTGACATTTCCACCTGTTTGGGAAGTTGACGTCCAGAACGAGGTTTGTCATAAATCAACATTTCACCTTTTTTGAAATGGGAAAACCACTCATACACTTGAATTTTTCCCATAGTGCTGTCCTTGTAAGCTGTGTTCAAGATCACAACAGTTTCTGTGGCATTTTCCCCAAGCATGAAACAAAATTTCACAGCCGCATGTTGTTCTCTTAAATTGGCCATCACAAAAAACAAGGTTCAAGTGAAACTGCTTTCATGAAAAAATGCACTCTAACCAGAGAGAACCTCCCACGTGACACCGACTGGGTGCACTAACTCAGAGCGAGATGCTCGCCTCACAGGAAAAATGTGTACTAGAAAAGCTCTTCCCAAATGAGTTTTTAAAAAAAATGTTGGGGGGGGTAACCCCTCATAGAGCAAAAGGTCACCCCCTCATATAGCTAAAGGGCAAGTTCATAAACTCTGTGGGAAGCAATAGGCGTGACAACAAATAGATCTTCTCCCAGGGATAGAGCAAAGGATCTCCCTTTGTGGAACTGTATGAAACAAGGATATGATTTCATTTGACCCATTTCAAGGGAAAAGTGTGTGTATGTGGCAGGGGGAGAGAGTTATTCTCTGGGCTTTAATTTTTTTTAACTACTTCATAACAGGGAGAGATGTCTCAAATTAAAAAAGGAGAAAATCCACCTAGTAATCATTCCACTGAAACATCCTGGAGGTACTAGCATATGTGATATGTTAAACTAAAATATTATATAGTTAGAATCATAGACGTAATTGCCTCTTGAATAAAAAATTCCTCCTAATAATTATAAAATGCAGCAACTTTCCAAACCCCCCTTTATAAAAAAATCATTTTATTGGGGGTTCATACAACTCATCACAATCCATACATCCATCCACTGTGTCAAACACATTTGTGCATTTGTTGCCGTCATCATTCTCAAAAAATTTGCTTCCTACTTGAGCCCTTGGTATCTGCTCATGTCCTCTTCCTCCCTGCCCTCCCCCTATGAACCCTTGATTATTTATAAATTATTATTATTTTTTCATGTCTTCCACTGTCCGATATATCCCTTCACCAACTTTTCGGTTGCCCGTACCCCTGGGAGGGGGTTATATGTAGACCCTTGTAATTGGTTCCCCCTTTCTACCCCACTTTCCCTCCACCCCTCCCAGTATCACCACTCTCACCACTGGTCCTGAAGGGATCATCTGTCCTGGATTCCCTGTGTTTCCAATTCCTATCTGTACCATTGTACATCCTCTGGTCTAGCCGAATTTTAAGGTAGAACTGAGATCATGACAGTGGGGGGAGGAAGCATTAAAGAACTAGAGGAAAGTTGTATGTTTCATCATTGCTACGCTGCACCCTGACTGGCTTGCCTCCTCCCCAAGACCCTTCTGTAAGGGGATGTCCAGATGCCTACAGATGGGCTTTGGTCCTCACTCCACGCTCCCCCTCATTCACAATGATATGACGTTTTGTTCTTTGATGCCTGGTACCTGATCCCTTTGACACCTCGTGGTCACACTGGCTGGTGTGCTCCTTCTATGTGGGCTTTGTTGCTTCTCAGCTAGATGGTCGCTTGTTTATCCTTAAGCCTTTAAGACCTCAGATGCTATATCTTTTGATAGCAGGGCACCATCAGCTTTCTTAACCACTCTGACTTATGTACCCACTTTGTTTTCAGCGGTTGTGTTGGGAAGGTGAGCATCACGGAATGCCAGTTTAACAGAACAAAGTGTTCTTGCATTGAGGGAGTACTTGAGTGGAGGCCCAATGTCAATCTACTACCTTAATACTAAACCTATAAATATACGCAGAGATCTATTTCCCCATTGTTATAAATATACTTACATATGTACATGCCTGTATTTAGACCTCTATAAATGCCCTTTGCCTCCTAGTTCTTTCCTCTATTTTCTTTTATTTTCCTCTTGTCCCACTATCATGCTCAGCCTTCATTTGGGTTTCAGTAATTCCTCTCAGTTACAGTGCCCTTGATCATGCCCAGCAGGCCTCCTACACCCTCACCACTGATTTTGGATCACTTGTTGTTCCCTTATCCCTGGGTTTGTTAACACCCACTTCCTTCCAAACCCCTTTTAGGAATCCCAGTATCACACACATTTACCTTGTTTTTCATAAATTTAGAATGGCTCCGGTACACCTCCATCTGCTTCATTTCTTCCTCTCGTTCTTCAGTACTCAAAGCCCCATTGGATTTCAGCATCTGAATTTCCTCTTCCAAATCCCGGAGCCCACGCTCCATAGAAGAAATTTTTGAATCCTGGGCACAATAAAATATTTTAGACATTAAAGTATTTACAAAGACAACTCACTCACTGCCATAGACTCAATGCTGACTCATAGCAACCCCAGAGGAGAGAATAGAACTGCTCCTTTGAGTTTCTGAGACTAACTGTTTAAGAGTAGGAAGCCCTGTCTTCCTCGCATGCACAAACAGAAGTTAAAAAAAAATCTGCGTGTAAAGATGTCATATTTAATAAAAACAATCAAAGATGCAGAAAAATGGCATTGATGCTTTACTTCTAAACTACACCCATTATGGCCATTTGGGTGGAAGGAGGAAAAATATTTCAATATGATTTTTGCTTTATTTCTTCCATTAGTTTTGAACTCTTTCAAATAAAGTTTAAACAACTATCTAAGAAGTACATATAATGAAAATTTGGTTTTCTCTGGACTTGTTGGTCGACAAATTTTTTGTTTAAAAAAATTGTAAAATTTACAGTAAAATCTTTTCTAGCTCTAATATTCTATCATTTTACTTGGTGACCCATCTAAGGCATATTTCTACTCCTAAAGATTTATTTTTAAGTGTTCATAGCAATTTTTATAATAAACATTTTATAACATCCACATTGAGGAAAAACAGTAATTAGATTGAGGGTTATTTTTTTTTAATGTTGCAAATCTTATTCTCTATGCTTCTCCACACATTTGAAATATTTCATAATTTTTTAAATCACTGTCCTTGTAAATCATCAACAAAATCACCTCCTAGTGGAGCATCCATGTATACTCAGTACCTTAATTTTGTACCAGTATCTAGTTTAATACCAATGAGTTATACTCAATTAATGCGGCCTTTCCAACCAGAATCCCTTGTGTGAGATAATTCTTAATTTCCCTGGGGGATGGGCAACAGAAAAGTGGGTGAAGGGAGATGCCGGGCAGTGTAAGGTATAATAAAATAATAATTTATAAATTATCAAGGGTTCATGAGGGAGGAGGGAGCGGGGAAGGAGGAGGAAAAATGCGGAGCTGATGCCAGGAGCCCAAGCAAAAAGCGAGAGTTTTGAGAATAATGAGGGCAATGAATGTATGCGTGCTTTACACAATTGATATATGTGTGGCTTATGATAAGAGTTGTATGAGCGCCAATAAAATGATTTTTTTTAATTCTTAATTTCACACACCTGGGGCTATAGTCCCATTTTGAAGGCATTACTTACTAACAAACAGGAAGAGGATGAGATTAAGATCTGACCTTAGATTAAGAGGGTATGAACCAGACCATTCTTTGTTTAATGGTTATCCTGGTTATTATTGCTTGTTGTAAATGTAGGGAATGATATGCTACAGGTGAGAGGAGAAAAGCTGTTTCCCAAGTGGCCTGGGGAAAGCCTGGCTGATTAAGATTAGTAGGAGGCCAATGCCTACTGGGAACATCTTGCCAGAGGCCCCAGGACACACGTGCATAAATAAGATACAGTCCAGGGATGTAAAATAGATCACATTTGGGTGAAATCTGATTGCACCATGTTAACTCCCACCATAGGACCTTTTCCTGCATAGATCTGGTAAAGAAGGTGAGGAGAGATACGGATGGATGTTACCTGTAAGTTATTGTCAATGGGATTCCCTACAATGCCTTCTGCTGCATATAAAATGAGCCGGCTGAGAAACAGAGGGTGTGATCTAATCACCAGCTCTAAGAGCCGGGAGTGGAGTGCGTCCTCTGGACCCTGCCTGACCTTCAGAATTTGGACTGAACAGCCACCATCCCTCAAACTTTCTTGAGTTCTGTGGGGCACTGCAACAATTCCCAGAACTCAGAAATGGGAAGGAATATAGTCAAGGGGGAGCATTGGGGAAAAGGGGATGGTAGATGGAGAAGACTAGAATCTTGCAAGAGGTGGACTTCTGGGACTTACTCAATTACTAACTTCTTTGGACTAGTTTAGTATAATTTTTACAAAAGAAATTGTTACCACAACTAAGATAAGCTGTATTCCAAAAAGTCCCCACCATCAAGCTGATTCCAACTGACAGCAAACACCCACACCCACCCAAACCCCAACAGAGGAGAAGTGAGCCGGTGGGTTTCCAAGGCTGTAAACCATTACAGGAGCAGAAAGCCTCTTCTTTCTCTGGCAAAGTGACTGGTGGTTTCAAACGGCCGACTTTGAGGTGGGCAGCCTAATGTGAAACCCTCTGTGCCAACAATCATCAAAATCCGCTGCCAACAAGTTGATTCCAGCTCACAGCAGGGCCCAGAAGTGTCCCACCAGATTCCCAAGGCTATGATCTGTAGGGAATCCGAATGCCTTAACTGTCTCCATTGGAGCCACTGGTAGACTCAAACCACTGCTCTTTTGTTAGCAGTCGAGCATGAACAACTCTACCCCCTCGGGCTCCTCAAAACACTCCAAAGCAAACTCACTGACATTGAGCCAATGACAACGCATAGCAACCCTCTAAGACAGGGTAGAACTGCCCCTATGAGCTTCCAAGACTGTGCCTTTTTTTTTTTTTGGCTTTTAAGTTCTTCAATTACATGTTTATTAAGTAAGCTTCAGTTCATAGGTTAGGTGCTGAAAACAGATATTGAGACTGCTCATGGATTTTCATCCAATCCAGGTCTGCCAGCATTCATATTATACATGCCTGCTAACAGTGGCCTCACTGGAGATGAGAAGAGGGAAAGGAGGGAAGAAGGCTTTCTCTGAGAGCTCTAGCGAGTGAGCAGGGCCCACATGTCTGCATGATCAGAGTTACGATCAGAACTGAGCCTGCAATAGAGAGACTAGCTCTTTTGGGGAGTAAACAAAAGGGGCAGCTGGTGGTTTTGAACTGCCAACCTTTCAGTTAGTTGGCCAATGTGTAACCAGTATGCCACCAGAATGCCTTATTGGAGTCCCTTAGACTCTACCAATTAAGAAAAACTCCTACACAGAACTAATACTTTTATTTCCTAAGTGCAGATGTTTATTCACCTAAGAAAGACAGACTTAAAAGAGCACAACTTCATTTTACTTAGAGTTTTAGGGAAACCGTTGACACTTTGGGAAGAAAATTTGAGAGAATGATTTCCTTTTCCCACTTTACCCCAAGAATTTCTTTTTAGACTTCCCTGCTCTTGTCACCTAGAGCACTCAGGGGGGAAACCAACCACAACCACAGCTAGCTATGATCAGGTTCAAGGGAGAAGGCAGCGTAGCGTACTCCTCGGCCTTGTTCACCGCATTACCTTTAAGTGTAGCACACCAAGAAGTTTCCATTACTTAGCTAGGCAAATAAAACAACACTTTGTTCAAAAGTAAATGTACTTAATTAATACACTCTAAACCCGAAACAGGATTTTTAATTCAGCATCAAAAACTCGTGGGCCTCAAGCAATTGCTGACTCTCAAAGAATAAGCTGTTTCAGCTGCCCTATCTGAGAACTTGTACTTAAATACAATAAAGCTTTGTGGAACAATTAGCATGAAGCCTCTCCAGAATGACTAAAATACTAGGCATAGGAATAAATAATTAAAGTACCCCTGGTGCTGCTGTGTGTAAAGCACTTGGCTGCCAACTGTACATTGGTACCCGCTCACTAGGTGTTCCAAAGGAGAAAGATGTAAATTTCCTGAACTCTCTCAATCAAAACCCACTCATCCCCAGCACCACAGAGCAGCAGAGGGAGAAAGCCTGCTTCCGTAAAGATCGCAGTCTTGGAAACCCTATGGGGAAGTTCTGCTCTGTCCTGGGAAGTCATTAGGAGTTGGAATCAACTGCAACAGCAACAGCCTGCAACTCAAAGAGAGTAAAACCTGGGTCCTCCTGTGACACACCTTGGCCTGCTGGTAATGAAAGGGAATCCAGAGGAGGGTTTGTTTCCTGCACAATCGCTCCACATAAGACACACCATTATTGCCAGCTAAGAAGAGAACAAGGGGCTCTGATGGTTGAAAGGTTGGCAGTTCAAGTACACCAGCCACTCTGCTGGAAAGATGTGGCAGTCTGCTTCTATAAAGAGCACCGCCTCGGAAAGCCTATGGGGCAGTTCTACTCTGTCCTATGGGGTCACTAAGGCACACAATACACCAGCAGCTCGACACTCACTGGGCAACATATGCCCAGATTAAAGGCCTTGCTGTGAAATATCATCCATCCTCTCTGTCATCCCCAAAACACAGGCAGCTCTTCTCCATATCAGCACCCTTAATACCAAATGTTGCATCATAAATGCTTCACCCCCCCAAAAGAGAGCCCATGGTTACAGCTCTGGAAAGCACGTGGCTGGCACTGGCTGCCTAGAAATAAAACCTGCCAGACTTCTCTCTGGAAGCAGGTCAGGAAATTCACCCAATACGCTCAGCTAGGTCTAGCAGCAACTCAATCTGTACCCCAGCTGGGTTTATTTAAGGAAAGACTGTCCCTGGGACCAGGCTTCTTTCCCCTAGAATATGGAGTAACTAATCAAATCTTTTATCACCATAGTGCTCTAACTCCCCCAGCACCAGCTCTCTTATGATGGATCAACCAATTCCACTGAGCTTCTGGAAATTCTCTACTTAGTGAAAAATTCCCCAAATCCTCAACCTTTTTACAAAGGTGGTTTTCTTGCCCCAAGGAAAACCTTTCTTTCCTAAAGGATATAATTTCCCTGGATTCTCTCAAGCAAAACCCACTTGTACCCAGCACACAAAGGAGCAGGAGGAAAGGCCTGGTGGGGTCCTGGCTCCACAATGATGTTATCTTCCTCACTCTCCCTCCCTCCCCGCTGCCTGCCTGCAGACTCTCCCTCCCTCCGCCCATTTTATGAAGCCTCTGGCATCTGGCTGCCAATCTTCTCTTTGAATCTTACTGCCATGCTAGGCTCCATGCCCCAAGTCCCTCGACCTCTCTCATTCCCATACACACCCTCCGCTCTGCTGTTTCCACCCTACAGTTTAGAGGGCTGGACTCTGAGACAACGGGTGATAACAATCACCCTGTCCACGGCAGTCGTAACTTCATCTCCCATTAATTCCTGTGTAACCCCACAGAGTTCTCCACTTTTTAACTAGGGCATATTCTCCCAATCTAAAGTCTCTTCTTTCAAATCCAGCCTACAATCCAGAATTGACCACCAACTACAGAACTCTCTCTCTCTCCATCACCCTCAGTTCACATGCATTCCTACTTAGCCCATCTAACTAGCAAACTCTAACCGTAGACCAGTAAAGTAATTCTATTCCTCTACTGCTAAAGGAAACTAAACCAAAGCACCATCAATTCAAACTCACAGGAGCTCTATGTAAAGGTTCCCAAGACTCCTGTAAATCTTTACAGGAGCAGATAGCCCCATCTTTCTCCTACAGAGAAGCTGGCAGGTTGAACCACCTTGCAGGTTGACTTTGACCTTGCATAGTCAAACCCACAGCATCCCCAAGGCTCCTTCTGCTGAAGGAAAGGGAAGCAAGAGGAAGAGGAGGAAAGAGGGGCAAAATGGGGAAGTGAGTGGGAAGGAGGAAGGAGGCAGTCAGGCAGAACAATAGGAAAGGGTGAGAGAAGGAGAAAATAAAATTGCATTACCGTGCAGATTACTGTTGTATCAACTACTCATCTTTTTCTTCCCGTTTCACCCGAAGACTATTCTAGAACATACCTTTTTCAAGCTCATGCCACACTCTTAACTCAGCTATTACAGTTATTATTTCAACAATAACAATGGGGCCACCAAGCTTCTCACTTCTTAGCAGAAGGCCAGTGCAACTTACAACAGCTCCATTGCTAATAAATACTATTACATACCCCCATTCTGCCAAAAGCCCAGGAAAGGAGTAATTTCTGACTACACACACATTCATGTGCTTTATTCAGAAGATCACATGTACAAGTATACTTGTGGGATGTGAATTACACTCTTCTAAAAGGTTCTTTACAAATTGTTTTCAAGACTACTAATTATCTAACTACAAAGAACCCAGAATCCACTAATTTGGAATTTATTTGGTAAAATTCCTTCTCCAGCGAGAATGAAAACGTACACAATATAAACAAAGAGGAAATCAACCTTATCAGAAGGATAGTTCTCTTAACTTTGCTTGAGAGGCATTTGTTTACATGAAAGTATTCATATACCAATAAATACTCCTATCATATTAACAAATATTAAGTAAAGGTCTACAATGCAGATGTAGTGCCAAGCTTTGGGCATAAGAAGCTGAAAGCGGGTAGGGCGGATGTTTTTAGCTTTGTGAAAAAACATGTTAGTAAACCTAACAGCTGTGGCAGCAACCAACATTTACTGAATGTTTACCAGGTCCTGGGTCTTGTTCACAGTGTTTCACTTTTTTTTCTAATTTACACTTTAAAACAATCCACAGAATGGGTATTATCATTATTGCCATTTTATTGATTTAAAAAATTGAGACAGAGAGGTTACAGTAACTTCCTCTATGCCATACAACTGGTTGGTGAAATCGGACTCTGAATCTAGAAAGTTTAACTCCAGCTTGGCACGCTCTTCATCATATGCATTACACGGAAGAGTGGTAAGCCTTTCATTAACTTAAAGCAGATGTTTTTCAATGATGGTGCAAGGTTTTCTGGGGTCCCTTAGTAACCTTCCAGGTCTAGATCTGAACTCACCCCTGAGTTTTCAGCCAAATAATAGACAGCTCCATAAAGGGAATGGTAGGTAGCAGAACAGGGACCAGGGTATCCTCTGGTCGTGCTCCATATTCGGGCTCCCGGCTAGGAAGGGGCAGTACACCTATGTGGGCGGTACACTTGGGTGGGTCCCAATCTGGGTCAGGTGAGCTTAATTCCGCCAATGGGGTCAACCAGTACTGTCGACCACACCTCCCAGCAGAGGGCCCTGAAAAGCCAGAATCCAAAACCCTGGCCCTCTTTTCCAGCTGCTCCTTGGCTGTGCTGTGGCTTCTCCAGCCTCGGGTTTCCACGTGTGGGTGTGAAGTGCCCTGAGGGTGCCTGTGTAAAATCTGAAACTTCTTCTATCGTTTATAAAAACTTACTTGGATCACAAACTAGGCTTTAGTGTGAATTCTTTCTCATGCAAAGCCATGGAACTTAACAGGAACCCTGATAATACACTGTGGGGGTTGTAATCAATGATATGAAAGTTATTGAATGGAAAACTCTATAAACCTTCGCCCAATTCCCAATAAAAAGCTTTTACATTAAAAAAAAAAACGTGGTCTATGCGGTCAAAACTAGTTACATAATATTAGCACAGTTACGTACCTTTTCCATGGTATCGACATTTGCACAAAAGGTATGAAAGTAATTAATGCCTTAGCACACATCAAGGCAATGGTACCACACCACACTAGGAATTATTGTATCTTCACTGTCAGACATTCACAAAATTAAAATTTTAAAACCACTTTTTGACAATTGTTTTAAGAATGTTCTTGGTGAATCTACATAAATTATTGCTTTTAATAAACCTCAGTCCTGGTGTACAGTCTTTTGAACATTCTGTGCAACAAAATGGAAAATTAGCAAGAAGCGCTTTTGCTGTGTAACTGAACATGGTGACTATGCCTACTGAAAGCATTCTGCTTATCTGACATGAAAGCTGAATTAGCTGCTCTGGTCATCAACTATTACTGATACACAAACTATGTTTACTGAGACTTATTTGCCCGACTCTCCCCGCCAAAAAAAAAATTTTTTTTAACCCAGAAAAGAATGAGCCTGTCATTTTATGAGAGTAAAAGTTGAGAGGGAAAAAAAATTAAGAACAATTGATTTACACAAATTCTGAATAACATTTTGATGCAATTTGCGTTATGATTTACAACTCAAAGGAAATAGAAGATCTTTGAAAATGTATATTGTATTAACTCTTACTAGGTTCCCCTATCTATAAAATGAGTGGGATTTTATTGTATTCACTTTTCTAAAGCTCACATGTGAAAGGTTAACACATCCATCATTTAAAAATGTAAACTGACTCATAAGATTCTCAGATTCTTACTTACCTTCATTTCAATAACAGTCTGCAGAGCTTTTGTTTTAGCAGAATCGGGAGCATTCTCAAATCTCCGATGTATTTCCTATGCAAGAGAAACAAAACCAGACAGTAAATGCCCATTTTTCTCACTCATTTGGTTAGAAAAGGTAGGGAAAAGGAGTAGTTTTATATAAAAGATGGTTACACCAGCTGTTATGGATTAAACTGTGCCCCCCACAAAATCTATCATAAGCACTATGGCTATAATCCTATTTGGAAATGGGTTATCTTTGTTATGTAAAGGATTAGTGTAAGCTGTATCTTCAATCTATCTTGAGATATAAAAGACATTAATCAATCAAGCTAAGAAGCAGAGGTGGGGGAAGAAAGATGCCAGGCCACATGAAGACGGGCCAGAAGCAGAAGCTCAGAAGAGACACAGACCCTCCTCCAAAGCCCAGAGACAAAGTCTTCTCCTAGGACCAGTGCCAATTCAGACTCCTAGCCTCCTAAACTGTGAGAAAACATTTTTTTAAGCTGTCTGCTAAGAATATATCTCTTACAGCAGCACTATAAAACTAGGACACCAGCCTTCGGAGATCCTTTGACATCTTTCTGTCTGCCTGACCTTCCCTGTCTCTGAACACGGAGATATTTAAAATTAGCGACACAGACCTCAGCTACCATAACAGTTTGGACAATAGTCGGTCTCCAGATTGGTGTGTCAATCTTCCACGACTCCACAACGAATAATCAGAACTCCAAATGATCCAAAGGAGGGGATTGAAATGTGCCCTCTTTAAAAGGAGAAATAAAAGCAGACACAATCAGTCTGGACTGCACAGAGCTACTGAAAACAGCTGTGTTGACAACAGCCTTTCCATAGCAGGCAACCCCTAGAGTAGCAACCACCTGGTTACCTATGATGAAAATCTCTTTCCAGTGGGGCTATCTAGGAAGAAAGAAGATTAGACTGGCAAATAAATTCCCTTAGTAGTTCATGCTTTAAAAAATGTCAGGAAAAACTTCAGGTAGGCTTTTAACCCAAATTTTAGTGAATTCAAAATTAAAATCTTTAAGGATCACACCCAAGTTCCCAGAAAGTTATTAGACCAACTTGGGCAATTTTCTTGTCAGATGTCTGAATATCTCTGAGATAGTAAAAGGAAGTTTCAATAATGGAAACTCACAATGGAATTTTAAAATAATGACAAAATTCCATGGAATTCCTTGTACTTCCAAAGTATTCTGGGTCGGTCTCTAGTATCCCCCAGAAACACACAGATGAATATTTTCCATCTTGGCAATGCTCTACCATAACAAACAGGATTTGAAAAACAATATTCTAACTATATCTTTCACCTATCAATTCATCGTGCCTACCAAAGGAGAGTAAGTTGAGGAAAACATAACTGCAAACTTTATTGAGCTACCTTCTTCCAAATGAGCAGTCCTAAAATTATAAACTGTCAACCAGTAAGGAATGAACACCCACCCTCCCCATCTGGCTGCTCGTGGCATAAGCCACTATACATACACATCATTCTTTCTGCTACCTCTCTCTCCAACTCCAGCCCAACTGGGTATCTCACCTGTATGTGTAGCAACTATCTCAAACTTTATACCAGCCTTCCAATTACTCAAGTACAAAATCCAAGTCTTCTTTTTGTTG